AGACCTCCCCCCCACCTCCCACACACACCTTCTCACCATGGGCGGTTTTCCTAACTAAAGACTTTACATTTGTCCTCAGGTCCCATGATTGACGATGGACATCGGGAAGAGGAGTTCTGTGGGTCTTGTTACTAACGAGACCATGTCAAAAAATGTGGTTGTTTTCTATTTCCCTTCCTCCAGGGAACTGGTTAGAATGAGTGGTGTGTGTTGGTGGGAAAGAATGTACAGTTACAACAAAGAGGCTTTCTTATCAGCCAGTAAGTGGAACTGAAGTTTTGGGCTCTTGCCCCTCACCCCAAACAATATGAATAGGGAACAGAAGAGAAGGAATTTTAGATATGAAAAACACGAGGGTGTAAACCCCAGGATAGCAGGCACTTCTGTCTGGTTCTCGGGAGCAGGACTGGCAAACTACAGCCCCTGAGCCAGAATTCGACCTGACCCCCGTTTATGCAAATGAACTTGACGGGAACACGGCCACGCTCATCTCGTGACACATGGTCTGGGGCTGCTTTCACGCCACAATGACAGAAATGAACCCTTGCAACAGATGCTTGGTGGCCCACCGTGCCAAAAATACTGAACGTCTGACTCTTTGCAGAGAGTTCGCCCAGAACCAAGGATGGTGCCTAGTACAGAGTCTTAAAAAAAAACAAAAACTTGCTTAATGAAATAAACAAACATACAACTCTTACTTGCATAAGACAAAAAATGGGAATGCCAAGAGCCACGGGGCTAAGAATGAAGCAGCATGGAGGTGAGTGGGGAACGACCACTACGGAGAAGACCAAGGGGGAACAGCTGCGCTTGACCGAGAATAACACGCTCAGCCATACGTGCATCCCCGGGGGAAGGGTAAGGACATGGACTGCAGGTGAGACCGCGGGCTTCCAGCAGAAGAACAAGAGTATGGTATTCTCAAAAACCTTCGACAGCTTCTCTGTTTACTGAATGAAGTCTCACGGGCCACTCACACCGTCCTTCCTAACGGTCTCTCCTGTGATACCGTCCAGTACACTCTTTCAAATCTCTGACATTATTCCTCACCCTCGTACATAGCGTCTTCCTTGCATGATCTATGTTGGAAAGAGTGTCTTTTCAGAGCATCGGCAGCGTAAGTCCGGTGTTTCCTTTAAGAAACAGATCAAGCTCCACTGCTGCAAGGCATCCAAGAGTCAATGGCCCTGCCCCGTCTGAGCCCCATGGCACAGTTACAGAGCCGCGGACACACAGCAGGGGTCTTTTTACAGACACACTTCTCAATTAGACCTTAAGTTGGTGAAAATTAAATATGAAATCTTATAATTGCGTGAGCTCAGCCCCCACTTCAGGACAGACTTCTGCATGTTGCCTCCAAGTCCTTCACACTGTCTCCCAACCAGACTCCCGTGTGACCGGACAGGCCCAGGAAAACTCACAACACCACGCCTGCGTGCGTCCTGACCGTCTGACGTCTGGGACAGCACCGCCCCGCGAGCTCTGCCGAGTAGCCCCGACGGGCCAGGTCCTGGAGGTGTGCAGAGTGTATACGATGAGACGTGGCTTTTCTGCCAGAGGAAGCGGCAGTCACTCGGCACAGCCTTCCTCAAGTCGCCGCCCTCGTGACTTAAATAAGGTCATGTTTGACATTTAAATCGGGAGGAAATGAAATTATACGTGTGAAGTGAAAACTGATTTCAAGGTAATGAAACTGGATGAGGAGGTCTGGATGGGGGTCAGTTACCTTTATTTTTGAATAAAATACAAGAGGAAGCCAACAAGGGGCAGCACCGAGGGGACAGAGCAGGTCTCCCCAGCGTCAGTCTGCCTGCAGGTTCGGGGTCCCGGGTAGCGGGTGGGGACGGGCAGGCACAAGCCAGCTGTAGCCGCCGCCCCCAGTCAAGGAATGACATCCGACCTCCTCCAGAAAACAGCCTTTTGAAGTTGGCCCCGGCAGGTCTTTATTCAAAGAACATCCTTACACCTCGGGCCGTAGTAATGCCTAACACCCAAGTGGCTTTGTGAGTTTCTCTAACATTGACTGCACACTCTTCCTATTTTCTGGAGTTATACTTGCTATCCGAGATGTTCTGCTGTGTGTGCCTTCTCTCGGCGACGTGTGACCCCTATTCTGCCTCGTTCCTTACACTCTCTGACTTTGAAATTGAAATTGGAAAGCAACACTCACGTGTATGTGTCACTTTTATAAAAGTAAGTTTTCAGTAAGTGTTATTCAATTAGTTTTATCTCCAAAACTGAGCTGGCCCAAGTGTGATTGGAATTTTGTACGAAGAAATTTATTCTTGGAAATTTCAGCTTACGTGCCATGAATCTGCATTCCCGTGTTCCCACTAGGTCTGCATGCAAGTGCTTCACGAGTTCCATTTAACCTCTTCCCTTCGGCTCAGCGCATCACCTAACCTGCTGCTGCAGCCACCGTGGGGCTGGGATAGCCTCCTGGATGTGCCGTCATCACATCCAAAATCAGCCTGCCTGACAAGCCAGTGTCAGCTACCTGATTCGGACGACTCCTCCCCCGTCGGCTCACGGAGCACCTGTGGTACGACCTTGTGGGCATTTGTTACATAACTACAACTGTGTGACTTCCAGCTCACACTCCAGCTCAACTGTGAATCCCTGGAGAGAGGCTCCATCCTGTTCGTCCTGGTCATCTAACACCACACATGGGACCCGTCACACAGGAGACACTTGAGAAGGTTTCCCACGGACTGGGAAGAGCCCACTTGGAAGCGTTTCTGAGCCCAGGTCACGGGCGTCTGAGATCCTCGAACAGCCCCCCTGGCTCCTCTCCGCCGTCAGCCTCTCTCTGAAGGTCCGTGACGATACAGGCCGAGCGGAAGCTCAAAGATGCAAACAGAGGGTGGGGGAAAAACTCTGCTCTGCTTCCCAGCTTGAGAACTGGTGATGCCTGAAAAGGGTTTAGCCAGAACCTTACTTTCTTAATCTCTCTGTCCCTCGTACTGGAAAGCTATACAAGATTTCCTTCATTACTTGCCAGATCAGCAGGGATTAAACGTGAGTCAGCTCTAAAACAACTCGCAGCTCTGACAGGGTACCTGTCTGCCTGCCCGCGGCCCGTGTATCAAAACTAAACCCTGTGGTGACCATTACATCCTAGATTTTGTGCGACACCTTCCACTCAACCAACTCACAGTAGATTTATTTTTCTGCCTTACTGTCTTTTTTGCTTTAGGCTTTTTATCTATTTTATCCTAACATCCTTTCCCACCGAGGCGGGAACTGTGTAATACAGGACAGAAAATAACATGTTTGTAACTGAAACACTGGTTCAAAGCTGGCGCCACACACAACAGAGTCTCATAGGTGCTGAGTCCCGTCCACACGCAGCTCAAGGCACATTAACGCTGAGAAGGTGTAATCCACGCATCCTGTTCCTCTCTTATTTTTCTCCTCATGAAATAAATGGGAAAAAGACTTAACTTCTGCAATCATTTAAAACTATCATTTTTAAAGGATTAAAAGGCAAGGGCCACTTTGAATGCAACTAAGTTTCTTCAGCTGAAAGTTCTTTGAAGAAATTTCAATGCTTCTCCAGGTTGAAAAAAATAGTAAAAAGCACAGAAGAAGGAGAAACGTGAAAGCAATCACAATTCTGAATATCATCCCCCCAAGTTCCAGGTGGATCTCACACCTGGTTGTGTAAGGCCGCCATCTGAGCCCCGTATTCAGCTTGATAAGCCAGGTTTCAGCCTCCAGACCTTCCAGAAAGCTCTTTATCAAAGAGAGGAGACCTGGATTCACACGGTCAGGACATGTACCAGGAAGGGGGTACAACTGTTGAAATACTTACTTTAAAAATTAAATAGAAAATTTAATCACAGGTTTGTCGCTGGGGCCCCATCTGTCCCTCACAACACACAAGATGCTTGAAATCCCTGGCAAGAGTGGAAACTGTTCTGGGTTCTCATCCACTGGCCTGAGGCTACTGTCCAGCTACCCCTCTTCCTTCTCCGGGGGTAAAGGAAGTTAAAACAAATGGTAAACAGAAGGCGGAGGGTATAGCTCAGTAGCTGAGTGCCTGCTTAGGATACACGAGGTCCTGGGTTCAATCCCCAGAGCAGGAAAGAAAAAGAAACAAACAAATCTAACTACCTCCCCCCAAAAAGGTAAACAGATGAAAGTGTAACAATAAAAGAAGTGGTTCAAATTAGAGGCTGAATAGTTCATACATGTGTCTCACTGGGGCCTCATCAAATGGGTGAAAGGAGCGGCTGGGGGAGGGGCGGGTGGGTCCCATCCCCCATCCTCCTTCCCCCTCCCCTAGAAGGAGGCAACATTTCACATGTGGATGGTGGGCGCTCCTCAACCGTTAGCTGCAGAATCAGTTCAGAGTATTTAAATATCTATTTAGAAAAACAATAATTCTCTCACAGAAAAAAAAGCAGCAGAATCAAAGAAGCTCCTTTAACATCGGGTGTTTTGAAGGATCCACGTTCTATAAAGAAGTCACAGCGTTTGGACTTCCAAGTGTGCAGGTTGAACAGGGGTTATGAGCCACAAGGTGGGGAATAAATCCGTAGCTTATGTAACTTGTCAACATTTCAACCATCATCAAAGAAACAGTACAAAATTAAAGGACGAATCAACATTTAAAACAAATTTAAAGTGAATCATTACCTAAGTTATCAGGATAATTCTTACTGAATTAATGTTTTCAGGAAATTGCTTGAAGCCTCCCTTAACTTTGCCCGTCGGGCTGGAGTCCTGACTTTCATCGCCAATTTGCAAAGAAGTGAAATGTTTGCATGGATGGGGTGAACGATAAAATTATTAGGATAATTTAAAGGCCGTATTTCTTCATCTTCATAAGTGCTTTCTGGATTATGGTATATCCATGAGGATGAAGGAGCAGGAGTCCCCAGATGGAGATGTTTCTATGTAGCACATGCTAAAGTGACACCACCCGATAGCCAAGCACAAACGAAGATCAAACACTCCACGTTACGATTCAATGAAAAACCTGCGTGATACGTTACCTGCCGCCGCGAGCACTGAAAGGCACCACATGGATCCCCAGGGGCCCTCCATCGTTGGGGACGTGCACCAGCTGTACCATGTCACTGTGAGACAACGATGAATGAGGAGCATGAAGATGAAACAAACCCAAACCGCAGCCACGCCACACACAGACCGCAACGGCACAGACACACAGCAGACGAGACAGGACACGGGGACATGCCAGCGGGCGCACACACACACACAACACACACACACAGACGCGTCTGGAGGGGAGCGTGGTGATGCGGGCACACTGAGCACTACGTACCTGCACGCTAGTCTGACGGCATGGGGGAGCAATCAGCAGAAATGCTACATTAAAATGACTGAGAACCGAGGCTCTCGGACCACCCTCTTGTGTGCAGCCCAAACCTCTGGGCATCCACTGAAAACTCCCATCCCAACATCCTAGCCAGGGAAGGGGAGATTCGGCTGTCCCGGCTGTGTGACACTTCTACACAGTGTCCCACACAGGTCACATCCTTGACCCTCCAATGAGCCAACTGGGTCAAAGCTCTGCCCCTGGAGATGACAGTCAGATGGGATGCAGCCAGCCTCACGTCCACTGCCCCACGGTCCCCCCTGCCGTGAGCGTGCTCCCTGCACGTCGGGCGCCGCAGCACCCAGGACGCCCACTGACAATCCAGTGATCACCCCGAGGGTGCTGGCGGTGGAGCCCCAGCCATGAAGCTGCTGATGGGAAGTGACACAAAATCACTTCTGCCCCATAAGAACAGTGCTTTAACATTAGCACAGTCAGCTGAGTCGTAATAAAGGTGGGAGTAAGTTGGAGAGTGTATGTTTTCTAAACCACCTAGAAGAGATTCCACTTTCTTTGCAGATATTTCTGTGTGTGTGAGGACTACACAGAAGTCTGAGCAGTACTTACCTACAAATCAGTGTTTGGAAACATTATTTCAATTACATGTCTAGGTGAAGCAACCTGGACAACTGTGAAGTGATTATCAGTGGACTTGATAAAGGTCATGGTACAGTTTTCATACAATGGAAAATGCCAGTGCTTCAACTGTAGTTCTTAAGTAAAACCTGGGGTATTCCTACACAGCATGAGTGCTCTGACTGTGTAAAACAAAGACTAACGAAAATTAAAGACAAGAATAGCAAACAAGTCATAACAAATTTGAAAATGTATGTATAGATTTAATCACTTACACTAGGACAAAATTAAAATTCTGTCACATTGCCAAAACATTTACTAAAATTGTATTATTTAAATGGCTATTTAATTTTTATTTATTTTCAGAGGATTTCATAAAATCCAAATTTAGATACTTTATTTAATATCATCTGAACATCTATTTAATGACTGGTTTGTCAACTCAGAATAGCATGGTAACTTTAATATATTAATTTTATTTCACATTCTTTCTAATAAGAACCATGACGGGGCAAGCATTTCTTAAATGTAAATTCTTCAGAGTGTTGGCAGCTGGATGCCAAACATAACCTGATTCAGGAGCCTGTTTACCTGACAAAGTTCTCAGAGCACTCCCTTGAAGACCAAGAGACGATAGAATTAAGAGTTTAAATATTAACATCTGGACCCCAAACTTTTACCCAAAGTCAAAAAAATTTAGAATGACTGCCCTCCCTGCTCTAAGGTAACTTTGACAAAGTTCTGAGAACACCTCCCATGCAAACATGCCACTATTTAAGATAAGTGTAAAGCTGTGATAATATATGGAAGCCTTTCTTTGACCTCTCATACTTAAAAATCACGTTCAAGTTCCCTAACCTCTAATTTTTCAGCAAAGATCTTGAGATTCTATTTCTCCAAACCAAAAAAAATATACTGACTAATGCCTACCTGATCCAACTAGATTTTTTAAGTAGAGTATGTCTATAATTTCACAAAGTTGAAGAACAAATGAAAGACCAAAATACTGACATACAAAAGCAATATGAAAATAGTTAGAGTGCTGTGAACATGACAAACATTTTCAATCAAATACTATTTTGTGCTGTAATTTAATAATATCTGTCAAGGCATGAAGCTCACGGCAGATGCGTGTGGACTTCCATGCTGCGGCTCTTACCTACTCAGAGATCATTAACTCAGGAGATGGAGGATGCTCTTTGGGAAGCAACCAAGGCACATTTTCACTAAGCACAAACATTCTGCATGCCATGCGCTTCCGGAATATTTGCTGGCATCAGGGAAGCTACCGGGATGTGACAGAGTTAGTTGGAACCATAAGGACTTACTCCAGAGAAAAGCTGGGTGTGTTCTCCACGCCGGTGTCAGCATGTCCCACAGGCTCCACACGGCTGCTGTCCTCCTCCGCCCCGTCCTCATCCTGGAGATGGCACAACACAAAGAGAACACGCGCTGGGTCAGGTCTCACTCTCCGACGTGAAGGGAAGGAGACTGGGTAAAACTGGAGCCTAGCAGGGTCAAGGCCATGTTAACTAGGTCTCTCCCCCGCGGGAACAAGCTTGCATGAGACGGAGGGTGAGCGCATGGGAAAAACTGCAGGTTTAAAGCAACAGTCTCCCGAGCTGGTGCCTCCCGGGGTGAACAAGATGCCAATGCAGTAAGGAAAGAAAACATTAGAACTGGTACTTAGGTCAACCTTCTTAGCCTATCATTTTTATTTCTCTTTTTGATGAACGTTTTAGGAAGTGACCACAATGTTGTAACATGTTAACAGACGCACACTACTACGGATGCGTGTTTAACATTTTTATGAATCCAAACAGGCGTGACCATTAGAAACCTTAAGGAGCAGCAAAATCTTCAGTCCCCAGTTCCTAGAAACACAGCTTGTCAAAATGAGCATGAGTTAGTACAGTCCTAGGCTTAAATACTTCCTCCTGTGAAATTTCACACAAAGTTACCCTAAACCAGTCGACTGACCATTTAGAGGTAAAGGCACTGAGATCTCAGCCGTGAAGACCCCTTCTGTCTACTCTGACACAAAGGGCAGAGCAGAGGGAAGGCAACAAAGAGCAACACAGCACCTGCCCCCACCGCCCCGACTGCACTCTTCCTCGTAGAATGCCAGTGTTTTGTAAAATTATATTCCAGCATTTTACAGAAATCAGGTAGGCATGCTGGTGCTTCAAAAGGCGCATGTGGAACAGACGGGATGGTTCACAAAAGTCACTGAAATATCACCCAAGAGTATGCCTGACCTTACAGTCCTGGCTACTGTCTTTTCACTAGTAAAGCTGGCTTTGCAGGATCATTTGAATGCCTGATGATATCAATGGTCTTGGGAATCTAATGAGAATATGCAGAAAAGCCTCAGAATCTCCAGAGACAGTGGCAAAGAGGCTCACGTGTGTGTCAGCTCGGTACCTGGTGCCTAGCAGGTACCCCACAAATATTTTGTGAATGGAAACAAAATCACCCCAGGAATCTCTGGGGTAATATGTTTCCAAATACAACTAAATAAAATTTAGTTAATCTATATCTTGGAAGTTCATATGTATGATTTATGTACACACACAGCTTGTTAGGTTTACCACTCCTACTGTATAAATTTGATAACAGTGAGTTCACATGCGAACTTACTAAACTACCAACACAACAGTCCACCGTTAGAGAAAAATTTTATATTTTTAACCATGTATTTGACAGATTCATAGTAGAAACGTATATGGCATCAACAGAGACATCAATCCAAAAAGTGATAAGCAAAGGGTACAGGTTCCACACACAACATCAAACTGTATTTTAAATTATCGAAGCAGCAGGAAGGCAAAGCAGAGCAGCTGCTGATTCCCAACTGACCTTCCTACTGGGAATCTAAGGCGCCCAGTTTTCCTGTGGGTTCAGACAGGCTTTGTGTGTCCTCGGTGGTGGCGCAGCACACGGGCCCAGCTCCTGAAGACTGATGGTCCTGCGTCCAGAGTGCCCACCCTGCACCTCGCAGTCATCTATCTCTTCTAAGCAGAAGCAAGTAATGTATTTCAAAAGTTAACCAGCGTCCTGAACCTGCCTCAGATTCACTCTTAGAGGGTAACAAGAACCCCCAAAGTGATGTTTTCCATGAGGGGCGGAAGGAAGACTCCTGGGTCAGAGACTTGGGACAGTTCAGGACAGCAGCAGCACTGGCCAGAGCACCGCCCTTTCGTGCACTGATTCCTAAGCTAAAACCCCCACAGGGGACGTGAAGAGGCCCAGGCAACACCAGCCCACACCAGGAACCTGGGGTGCAGGGACCTCAAGTCTTGTAGACAGTCAGCCAGCAGGTCCCTCACTGCTCTGGAGGGAGACACCATCCTGCCAAGGCTGCTGCACACCCACCGCTGAACGGAGAGCCCAGAACAAAGGCCTTTGTTCTCAAAATGCACAAAAATGCCGCAGAACCATGAGAACTGCCTCCCAAGAACTGTTTAATCAGAGCATCGCCAAGTGGTAGCATCCATATGTTCACTAGCAAACTAAAACTAGGAACATCGTGAGCAACTGTTCTGCGGTAACAATGTCTTCTGAATAGTAGCATTAAATTCTACAAGATAAGAGAGTCATACCTTCTACATCAAGGAAAAAATTAATTTTCAATGCAGAAAAATATGCCCAGCCAAACAAAAAAATCAAGTGTGAAAACTGAAAAAAACTTTTGAACACGCTGAGTCTCCCCAAAGCTGCCCGGGGTCTCTTCTCATGGGTCCCCCAGACGACAGCTCAGGTGCAGGGAAGAAGACTCACGGGGGCTGCCCGCCAGTGCCCCCCGGTGCACAAGCCCCTGCCCCGCCCCAGTCAGCCAGTGCCTCTCCTGAACCACCACCGGGCTAGACGTTCACAGCTGTCCAAGCCCAGATGCAATTTGCCAGTCAAAATAATTGAATCACCACACAAAGACAGTTTACGGAAACTTTTATCAGGTTTCCAGAAAAAGGCACACCCCCCACCTCAAAAAAAAAAAAAAACACCCAAGTTTTAAATTCTCATGCAGAAAGGGAAAACTCTCTACCTTCACAGATTTTTTTATATCCAAAAAGCTACATGGATGCCGCTGCAAACCAGTACAGGATTTGTAATTAGAACACTTAAAATTTGAATTGGATCCTATGTCCTTCACTCATCATATAAGAGGACAAACTTTATAACTGGTTTGTTTACAAAACAGAGACAATAAAAGCACACTGTCTGCTTCACAGAACATAATAACACTTCGCCCAGAAAGCGATCAGTAAAAATCTACATTCAAACTCGGCAATTTTCAGAAATAGTTTAATCATTCTAAAACACTTCTATCAAAAACTTAATAAATCTGCACCCCTATCTTTGATTTTTACGGTTAGGAAGCGAGAAAGGAAATGAAAGTTCCGATGATACCCTGTTCAAGAAATTTACAATATTTTTCCTCAAGTGTTTTTATTATTATTCTTACCACTAAAATAATGTAATTGGTTCAATTATATTGCTACACGATGCTCAACTAAATGATCTTTTTCACCTTTTCAGAGGGTCTCCAAGTTTTTCTGACCCTAATGAGAGACACTAACTATTAGTGAGCTAAAGTATCTCAGAGAAAATATTTATTTGAATGTTGACAGCATGAATTAAGCCATGTTTGGGGGGTATCACATTTGGTGGGAAATAATCCCAGGGGGAATCTCTTTCCAAGTCCCCAAAGTATCTCAAATAGGATTCCAGAAGGCTCTGTGTTAATGCTGCCACGGCTTGATTAATTGGCCAAATCGCCAGGGAGAAGTCATTTCCCGTCGTGTATGGAAAACAACTGAGAACATCTGGGAAGAGGCAGCTGAAAATGATAAATCTGTGGCCACCTCAAAGGAAATAAAATCAGGAGATGTGTGATATATCTCTACTTCAAGGTCATTATATTCTTCTATGGTAAAAAAAAAATTTATAAAAAAAGAATTCAAGTATTCTTAAGGACAGACAACATGAGATAATAAACAAGACTTTGTAAAATATGAAGATCTTCTTGTATTACAGAGGGAAGCTAACAGCTGTTACACTTGTAAAGGCAATGCAGTTCCCTATAACATAAGCTGGCTCCCCAGAACCCAGAGCCAGGGCCGAGTAATTCCGGATGAAATGAAGAATCACTCAGGACCTGCAATACCGAACAGTGCCCGTGAGCTGAGTCCCCTGAGCCAAACGTCTGCCATTTTCATCTCAAGCTAATACTGATCAAATGGAACGGCAAACACTGCACTGAACACAGTCCATGAAATTACCATTTATCACAGAAATGAAACATTTCCTGTCTTGAAACATACACACCATGACGCCACACAACCCCGGGCAGGAGACGGGTCTTCAGAAGAACAGCTGGTCTGATTTATGAAGCTCTCCAACCACAGAGAACAGCAAACACCGAGTATCGTGCACCTGTGACACGCCGAGTGGAACCTCGAAGTCATGTTCCAAGACGTGAGTGGGCGTCTCCAGGATCACTCGAGGGTCAGGCACGGGGGAGCCTTCGTGTCTGACATCTAGTCCAACGTGCAGTCATGTGCAGGAATCTCCTTCACTCCCCGCTTCCCTTTCTCCCAGGCTCCACGACACGCGAAGGAAGCCTGACACAGAGAACGTCCTGAGACCACTGAACTCGACAGCCGACTCCAGCGTCCCACGTCTCCTACCCACATGGTCCCAGACGCCGGACCACGTGAGTACCTCTCTACACGTCAGCAATACTGAGGCCGCTTGTTCTGCATGGAGAACCTGCCTCTACACGGCTCAGCTCCCCCCACACACCATGGCTGAGGGCACCCAGTAGGTGACAGGATTCTAATCAGCGTAATCAATCTGTTGCAGGTGTGGCTTCTTCACCAGAATGACACCCACTGGTTTTCTTTGGAACATTTCTGAAAAAATAGTCTGATTTATGGATTATTGAAATGTACTGATTCTCTAATCTGAGCAGTCTTGCCTTTCTAACAACAACACTTCAATCCTTATTGAGGTGACATTTTTAAATGATTTATTTTGGGGTGAAATAAGCAACACATGGGTAAGGAAACAACATTTATCTCAGTGGTAAATTAGAAGACCCTATATTAAAAAAAATTGATAACTATTTTCCTTCAAAAAATCAATTTCTCCTTGGCTTTAAAATAATTTCAAAATAATAACTGATTTGTTAGTGTAGAAACTAAAATACTTTCAAAGTTTTATTTAACTCAATAAAAAAATTAAAAATCTAAACATGTATTTCTTGCTACCGGTAAGTGCGAATCACTTCATAAAAAGGCAAGAAACCTGAAGATTTTTTAATTTTACTATTTTAAAATAATAAAAGACAAAATAATTGCTAGAATATAGAGGACTTGTGATGCGCCAATTACTAAAGAATCCACTTCTCCGGTCCTC